TGTGATACATCAATATAAACTTGCTCTAAACTTGTGAAACATATAATAGTTAAAAGTAAGGACAATAAGGTATTTTTTGTACCATTTCAAGATACATTTCTATTGACTGCTAAATATTTGTTAAAAATCAACAAGCGGTTCGGTGATCCAATCAAAATTTAACAACTGGTTCGAGCGAACTGGCCCCATCACACCCCTGAGCCTACCCTGAAATTGAAATTCTTTTAGAATATATTAACCTATAAGACCTTGGGCGTGGTCAAATACATCAATCGATTGACTTCCTGAGTCCAAAACTGTAATGAGATCTCAAATCGGTCAAGAAATGAAGGAGCTATAAACTAAAAGTTTGTACTTGAAAATAAAACAACAAAAAACTCAGAGCCGTTCAGCCGCGGCTAAAAGAAAAGTCATATTTTAATACCTTTATCGGGAATGTATAAACAGATATATATTAATTTTGGCTGATGTTTATCAGGCAGAGTATTTTCATTATTATTTTTGTAGATTAAACTAAGACAATCTACTGCATATAACTATTAGTAACCTAGAAGACTTTTCATGTAGGTGCTTCTAAGGCAATCACTTGCCAACCAAACATTGAATTCATTTAACATTACAATAAAGCAAAATAACACAGCTCGCGTATTAGAAAAATAGATCAATAAAATCACTCTTTTTTTTGTTTGTTTCGTACTTCATCTCAACAGAGAAAGTGTTTTAAAACATTACAGTACAAAAATCAGTAAAAAATAATCATGCTACAAATCCACGAGAAATATCGAAAGTGAAAATCTTGTAAAACATCAAAACACCAGAAAGACATAAAATAACTCTTAAAATATCCCCCTTAGAATAAATAGACTGGTAAAAAATCAGAGGATAATCCACTAACATTTATGAAGAAGTAGATTAAAGTATAATCGTGCTAAGATTCCCTAATGAAAAAACCTTAAAACATCACTAAGACAAAATTTCCATTATCAGCTCTTTGAGGCTTTTCACATGTTTTTTAGATCGTCTTAAAAACGTATTTTCACTTCATTCTTCTAAGAACAATAATAAAGAAAAGTGTTATTTTCCAGTTGATAACACTGCCAATTCAAAGTTATCAATAATGTATGAAAGTTACTGTTTTACAATCAGGCAGGCGGTAGTACTGCCTATGTAGGGATGACTCGGATTGTTCATCGAAATGGCATTTTAAATATCTCTTGAATAGGTCATCAGAACTTTAGAATACTATACAATGTTTCGTTTTATAACAATTTGTATGTAATGAATGAGTGACAAATTCTGTGAATGTCTGTAAATATCATAGCAAAAAGTATGAATTTCTTGTTCTCTTTTCTTCTGCTTCTTTTTTTTATTACATGATAACTCAAAAACCAAAACAATGGTGTCAACCAATTTTACTGATGTGACACAGTATCAAACGGAGTATCTGATTTTATAAATATTATTAATAACTAGTAGTAATAAAAAAATAATCCTAGTGTAAATGATGTTATCATTACCCCTTAAAGTTTGGTATTCCTTTAAAAGCTTAATTACAGGGTTAAACAGGAATTACGA